TTCAAATTATCTGTGTACTTTGGAAAATATTACATTAAAACTGACACAAATATTCTGAGGCTGCTGCTATCAACATACTGATAAGTTTCTGTCCACATACCTGAATATCAGACCACACCTCTCAGGGGAAAAGATACTGCCAATTCAGGGAAGCTAGGATAAAAGCTGAATCCAGAACAGACAATAATGCTACCTTTCTCAGCTACAGGTCATTCACTCACAGCTCCTTCATTGCACGTCATCAATGTGTTATGAATACAAACTGTAGTGTCCTTATTTTAGGCATGAGTGAGTTTTCTTTAAATGGGGTTTGGTACTATGTGAAACGTGAAGGCTCCTCATATACCTACTAAATAGATGAGAGGGTAACGTATGCAGCATTAGGGCTTACTAGGTCTCCACTGCTGCAAACAATAGGTATCTGTCTTCCAGCCCATGCCTCCTTAGCAAGCTGCAGTGGTGAACTCATCTTCCAGTCTTTGGAATGCAGCATTGTTAATCCATTCACTCTTTGCCTGAGCATCTTGTACATAGGTTTGGTTGCTGGGGCTATTTTATTAATTATTTGTATTTCAGTAGTGCCTGGAGGCTTTTCATCAGGGCCACATTGTTCTAGGAATAGTACAAACAAAAACAGTCCCTGCCCCTAAGAGCTTACTGTCTAAATAAGTAACTTATTAACCAATGATCCTGCAACATCTGACCTTCCTTCCAGTGTGATCTGAGAGAAAATAGTAGGGTCCTATTGCTATGCCAGTAAAACTCATTTTCTGAAAACTAGGAAGTGGCCTAAAATACCTAGTTCTAAACTTAATTTATATTTGTATATTCTTCTAATATGACAGATTGGTACTAAGAATCTAGGAGCACAATGCATATTGGTCCTTGCCCCTCTCTCTTAAAAAAAAAATCTATACCAAAGTTAAAAGCACAGACCAAAGAGAGTAAATGGAAGACAAAGAAAAACAGTGTTGTAAAAGTAGCTCCCCAAATGCTTGAATAAAAGGCATGTATCTATCCAGAAGTAGAAATGATTTGTTATTTGTTATTTATTAACATATCAAATCTTTTACAACAGAAATCTTATAAAACTTGTTTTATAATGTAAATAGCGATAAACATGGTATACACGCAAATACACAATCATAAATTGGCCTGCCAAAGTCCCTAAAGCCCTATTGATGAGATCTATCTGCTGCTTTCCTCAACTTTGTAATATTGATCACATATGGTGGTTGATGATTTTCTGTTCTTTTTCTATCTTGTCAGTTGGTAGCATCGGTTAAAGTCTTTAATTATCTCATGTTTAGATCCAAACTTCTGTTTTTCTTACATTTAGATGTGTAACCCTGTTTATTAATTGTCCTATCAAAACTATATGACATAAGCATATAGGTGATGGGCTTAACTTTCTGAATAAATTATCCCACGTTTCTATTGTTGCTTTCATAAAAGGGTGGTTACATATTAATTTTGGCCAATAGGTTTTCTTTATCCAGGGGATCACAGAATTTTGTTTTCATTTTCAGGGAGGCAGGATGACTTAGCAGATTGAAGATAGGCCCAGGACGCAGGACATCTGGATTCTATTCCTGGTCTAGATACTGGCCTGCTGGGTGACCTTGCGCAAGTCACTTAAAACCCCCTGTGCTTCAGATTTTCCATCTGTAAAATGGGGATAATGAGGCTTACCTCCTTTGTAAAGTACTATGTAATAGCTAAGTATTATTATTCAGGCTGAGAATTGTAATTGCTGAACATCTCGCTAGTAGGTGAAAGTACACTTGCTAACAAACCTAAAAGATTCTGTACTACTAGCACTCTTTTTACCTTTAACTTGATATCACTTTAGCAAATGAAAATAGTAGACAGAGATATTAGAATAAGTAGAGGGTTACATCTATTCTGTAGCTCATAGGATTGGGTTCTGTTTTTTTAACTTAATAGTTGATAAACATCCTTTATTTCCTGCGGACATTTCACATTTTACTTGTCACTCTCCTTCAAAAATGTGTTATTAAGAGTAGTTGAATAAGAGGAGGAAGAAGCCAAAAGATATATAGTACAGAATGGTTTCTGTTGCTTCTAGAGCTGTCAAGCGATTAATCATGCTGTTATTAATAAAATACCATTTATCTAAATTTTTTGAGGTTTTCTACATTTTCAAATATATTGATTTCAATTACAACACAATATAAAGTGTACAGTGCTCACTTTATTTTTATTTTTTATTACAAATATTTTCACTGTAAAAAACAAAAGAAACAGTATTTTTCAATTCACCTCGTACAAGTACTGTGGGGCAACCTCTTTATCATGAAAGTTGAACTTACAAATGTAGAATTATGTACAAAAAATAACTGCATTCAGAAATAAAACAATGTAAAACTTTTGAGCCTACAAGTCCACTCAGTCCTACTTCTTGTTCAGCCAAACAAGTCTGGTTACAATTTGCAGGAGATAATGCTGTCTTCTTCTTATTTACAATGTCACCTGAAAATGAGAACAGGCGTTTGCATGGCACTTTTGTAGCTGGTGTCATAAGATATTTACATGCCAGATGCGCTAAAGATTCATTGTCCCTTCATGCTTCAACCACCATTCCAGAGGACATGCGTCTATGCTGATGACGGGTTCTGCTTGATAAAGGAGAGCAGACTGATGAATGTTCATTTTCATCTTTTGAGTTAGATGCCACCAGGAGAAAGTTGATTTTCTTTTTTTAGTGGTTCGGGTTCTGTAGTTCCACATCTGAGTGTTGCTCTTTTAAGACTTCAGAAAGCAGGTTCCACACCTTGTCCCTCTCAGATTTTGGATGGCACTTCAGATTCTTCAACCTTGGATCGAATGCTGTAGCTATTTTTAGAAGTCTCACATTGGTACCTTCTTTGCGTTTTGTCAAATCTGCTGTGAAATTGTTCTTAAAATTAACATGTGCTGGGTCGTCAGCCAAGACTACTATAAAATAAAATATATGGCAGAATGCGGGTAAAACATAACAAGAGACATACAATTCTCCTCCAAGGAGTTCAGTCACCAATTAACACTTAATTTTTTTAACGAGCATCATCATCATGAAAGCATGTCCTCTGGAACAATGGCCGAAGCATGAAGAGGCATATGAAAGTTCAGCGTATCTGGCACATAAATATCTTGCAAAGCCAACTACAAAAGTGCCATGCTAATGCCTGTTCTCACTTTCAGGTGACATTGTAAATAAGAAGCAGGCAGCAGTATCTCCTGTAAAGATAAACAAACTTGTTTATCTTCGTGATTGGTTGAACAAGAAGTAGGACTGAGTGGGCTTGTAGGCTCAAGTTTTACAATTGGTTTGTTTTTGAGGAAAAAAACCCTACATTTGTAAGTTACACTTTCACAACAGATTGCACTACAGTATTTGTATGAAGTGAATTGAAAAATACTATTTCTTTTGTTTATAATTTTTACAGTGCTAATATTTGTAATAAAAAATAATATATAGCAAGCACTGTATACTTTGTATTTTGTGTTGTAATAGAAATGAATATATTTGAAAATGTAGAAAAACATCCAAAATATTTAATACATTTCAATTGGTATTATATTGTTTAACAGTGCAATTAATCACAATTAATTTTTTAAAATCGCAATTAATTTGAGTTAATCAGTGTTAGGATATAGATATTCAGGCCTGTCGGTAAAGGCCTGTACTCTAAGAATTTAGGTGTATTCTTATCACTTGGCTAGATATAAAGGTATAAAAGAAAGAATCAAAATCACTGTCTGCTGGTGTAAGGTCCTTCTCTTACTGTGACAGTCTGAGGCCCTGTGCTTAGGCTAAGACCTTTGGCTAAGCAGCAGAGGCAGCCATAAACTGGGAAGCGAACGGTCACATCCTCACATTCCAAACTAGTCACACTGAAATAAGGTGCTATTGGGCTGTTAGGAATGCAGTCCTGTCCAGAGAAAGGGAAATGCCTAGAAAATGTAAAAGGAAACTTAGTCTGACAGCATCCTGTCTGGCAAGAACTCACTTATCAATACCTGGGATGTGAAATCCTCACTTTTGTATTGTTCTGTCATTATAGTTCCCACTTTGCTATTGTTTGTCTGTATAATCTCTGTCTGGTTCTGTGATTGTTTCTGTCGGCTGTATAATTAATTTTGCTGGGTGTAAACTAATTAAGGTGGTGGGATATAATTGGTTACATAATCATGTTAGGATTGGTTAGTTAAATTTCAGTAAAATGATTGGTTAAGGTATAGCTAAGCAGAATTCAAGTTTTACTATATAGTCTGCAGTCAATTACGAAGTGTGTGGGGGGGAATGGGAACAGGGAAATTGGAATATGTTTTGCTAAAGGGGGAAATGGGAACAGGGAATGGGGGTAAGGAAATTGGAATCATGTTTGGCTAAGGGCAGGAATGGGAACAGGTACACAGGTGTAAGGCTCTGTGGTGTCAGAGCTGGGAAGGGGGACATTAAGGAAGGAAACTGGAATCATGCTTGCTGGAAGTTCACCCCAATAAACATTGAATTGTTTGCACCTTTGGACTTTGGGTATTGTTGCTCTCTGTTCATGCAAGAAGGACCAGGGAAGTAAGTGGGTGAAGGAATAAGCCCCCTAACAATTGTAAGTTAACTGTGATTAATGAACAGCCTGAGTTGCTTCACATTAGAAACAAGGGCCTGCTATTGAAAGTGTGACATATTTTCCTTGATCACAAGGACCAGTAAAGGAGGGGGACCTGACCCGATCAAGCAGACATTGTCCCAGAGGTGAGCTAGTATCCACAGCATGTTTATCATTGACCAGCCTCCCTCTTTCATGAGAGCATCAACAAAAGCTGTATTTACATCATCTTTACTATCCTCTTTTCTCTCCCTTCTGTGTTGTTAAAAGGAGATAACTCTTGTTTAGAGCATCCACTTAGCTAAATAAAGCATTGAAGTGATTTTTTTAGTATAGGCAAAGGAAATAATACAGCCTGGGGATTGACACAAAGAAATATAGCAATGACCAAGTTAGAAAAAGGTTTATTTACATGTCACCTAGCCCCACTGCTACTGGTAGGAAACACTGATAGGCAATTATAAACCTTGGTGAAGACAGCTCCCTATGCTCAGGCTTTCTTTTAATCAAGCTGTTTTCTCTGATTTATAGTAATTTTTTTCTTTTTAAGCAAAGCAAATACGTTTAATCAGTTCACCTCATAGGCTAAAGCAATAATATAACTGACAGCGTTCAGGCTGATTGTGGGACTTTCATTTTCTTGGGAATCTGTTTTGGTGTTTTGGGAGCTTTCTTGGCTGATTTTACAAGCTTGCCCCCAGGAGGTGTCACAAAGGATTTTGCTGCTGGTTTTTTGGGAGTCTTTTTCAGCTCCTTATCCTTTACTACTTCCTTTGGGATCCCGGGCTTCTTGGGTTGTTTCTGTTGAGCTGGTGTTGGCAAATCTGTCTCATTTTCAGCCAATTTTAGTTTCGTTTTTGGAGTCTCCGGAGCCAACGATGTCTTTCTCTTACCAAGTGGTGTCTTAAGTTTTCTGATCATATTTACACCTTTTTCTGGAGTCTGATTTGGTTCAGTTTTCTGTATTTAGGACATGGGGAAAAAAGTGTCATCTTACAACAAAGGACACATCGTAATTGTTTTGCAAGACAAGATTGATAAAAACATTAGCACTAAAGATCAGTGCCATCTACTGAATAGAATATTCTCTGCTCTAACTCAATTAGTCATATTTCAGGTAGGCTGTGCAAGGGTAAATATAAACCAACTCAATCACAAAAGGGTCCAAGAAAAAATATTTTCACTGATACTGTACAGAAAGAGAACAGACTTAAGGAAAACATACTGAGTAGTTGAAAGGTTGTGCTTAAATAAAAAATCCAAGATGACTATTTTTCATTTTAGAACAACTTTGTAACTTATGTTCATTCATTTTCTCTCCATTGGATATTTAAGACAGACTTGCTAGAAACGTCTGCAAACTGAGCATGGTTAACTTGATAGTTTTGAAGAAATTTTAATTATATGATCCTGAGTATTTCCATTCCCAGTAATGACTTGATCAGTATGAAGAGTCCACCAAGGCTTTCAATTTTTAATAGCCTTCGGTTCTCCTATTTTGTTGCTATCAGAAACGTAAATTATATGTATTACTCCACAAAAGATCTGACGTTACCTCTCCCCTAAATAGTGACCTCCACTCGGGCAAAAGGAGACACATTTAAAGAGATTTATTTGATTCATAACTTGTCTCAAAGCTGTTTTATTTCAAAAGTGAGAGTAAGGGAATGAATTGCAATCAGGCAGCTATGATTATCTATGGCAACCAGTCCATTTCCAACATACTGATGTAAAACAGTTTGATGAAATGGTACATAAGACACACATGGGCAGAATATCCATTTACAGAGTGCATAGTTTTCGTCTTTTCAAATAGCAGACATGTGGAAAATGAGCTGACCAATCTAATTAAGATTTTGGACACCTGGAGTGCAAACAGCAGATAAAATTTCACTCCAGAAGCCATTGTTCTCTCTAAGAGAGAACCTATTATTTGTGCTAGTCAGAAATGCTATTGTTAAAATAAATAAATAACTTCCTGTCTGTCTGTAAGAGGCTTGTAAAAAAAATCCCAAGAGAAAAGAATCCCTTGCTCTTGTGATATCCCCAGGAATACATGTTGCACTCCAAGTGTATTAAAACATACTGCCCTGCAAGCATTAGGTTAGACATACCAATGATTTAACTTGCTCACTGTTTCCATTAGCCTGTCTCAAGCCTTTTCTTTGCTAAAGGTAGACTTCGTCCACATTCAAAATCTTCATTAAGTTAAAGCTAAACTCTAGATTTCACAAATTTGTTCTTAAATAGAATTACCTCCTTCCCAGCTATACTGACTTCTGTTTGAATAGGAACAAGTTGTGGAATTTCTCCATCATCCTCATCTGGTTCTGTGACTGCCAAGGTTTCTGCTTTTCTCTTTTGTTCCATCTCAAGGTCTTTGGTAGTAGCATTGTTCTTCTTTTCAGCTGTCACTTTGGCCTTAGTTGAAGTCTGTTCTGACTTCGGTTTTCTTTTCTTTCCTTTCTTTTTCTTACAGGAAGAATCAAAACATCTTCAGTTACACATCACCCCTCCACCACAGTCCAAGACAATATTACAAATATACTGATCTATTTTACTACAAAGGCAAGAATGAGTAGTTCACTATTGCAGAACTTCTGAAACTGAAGATCTTGAAAGAGTGTTAACTTTTAAACCAACACTAATTACAATCCTTCGGTAACAGCAATTTTATAAGCAATGTTACCATGCATCTTGCTATTCAGCAGTTCAGATTTGGCAACAGGCAAGGAGGAAACAATGCCGAGTTTTACTTTTAGAGAACTTGCTAAAGGCATTGTAATCCTGTATGAATGACATACATGGACTAATATATATTGTATTACTATAGATAAATTACATGGTTTAGTGGATTATTATTATATCTACATTTTAAAAAATTCTTCCTCCTCCCTGTATAGAAGTTATGCTGACATCAAAATTGACAAGTTCAAAGTGTAGAGCTGTGAGCAATTAAGCAAAAATCAACTATTTTAAGTACAGGGAAATCAACTGTAGAATTCAATGTAACAAAATAGCTGACACTCTTAAATTGATGAAACAACATCCAAATAAGACAAAAAAATTAAAATAACCCAAACTTTTTAGAGTCTATTACCCAAACAATATTGAAGTCATAGTTCAGCTGATGAGTAATTGATGCATCCTCCTGAGCTGTGCATGAATTTAATTAATACGATTAAGTATTTATTTTCATCTTTTGTATTTTCCTTATAAAAATAACTGAAGCCGCATAACCTGGCTGGTCCATGAAGACGACCAGATCTCAAGTTAGAAATAAGGATATAGAAAAGTGAGGGAATCCCATCCTCTACCAGTTTAAGGGAGGAGACTAGCAACACTATAGGATTACATTTTCAACTTGCCACTACTTCAAGTGGCAACAGTGGTTTCCTATTACCATGCACTGTTGTAAAAGCATGCAGTCATGCTAACAAGTGCTGGGTGAGAACAGTTCAACATCACTAGTGTACTGCTGCCTGTGTACTGCACCTAGATGTCTGGCAAATATCCCCAATGCCAATGTTAAACTTACATGCCAAACACTTTATTCCATAAAGGTAACCATATAGCCAGTTATAGCACCACCTTATGGAAAGTTATTCTGTAAAGAAGTTAGTAGGAAGTTTTTACCTGTACTCCCTTTTGATGGAGAGATGGCTGCTTGTCAAGCTCATCTAAATTGCAGATGTATGAATTGAAGATTGGGAGAGCAACAGATTTCAGTGTTTTGAGGTGAAGAACTTTAATATTTTTCCAATTCTGCAATAATTAAGAAGAGTAAATATAAACAAAGAAATGCTTAAATCAAGTCCACTTCACATTCTAATTTAATCATGTGATAGTACCTTTGGCAACTTATTGGAAATCACCTCAGAAGCAACAGTGACATTTTCTAATAACTCATCAGCTTTCATTCCAGTGTGACCTACACGTGCCGTACTGAAAGAAAAGAGAGGTGTGCTGTTTATCCTACAGTAAAACAGACCTTCTGACTGAACCACTTGCTTTTAGGCATATCAAAAAATTGACTATGAGTACTGTCTATTCACAATGATCTTAATTAAAAAAAAAGAATGCTGGACTTCACAGGGAAATAAGATCTATTGTAACTACTATTTTATACTAGCCTTTTCAGTATTTGGACACTTGTTTTTAGTTTTTGTTTTGCAAGATGCTGTTAAATCTTTAAAGAATACATATATTTGTAGCAGGAACTAATCATGCCTAAAGAAGTTATAGAAGTCTTTAAAAATAAAATAATCCAAGGTGGGGAAATCTTAAGAAAAAGATACTTCAATTCGTAAAAACAAGTTGTTGTTTCTCAACAGTCATAAGGGTAAAGTTTTCAAAACCAAGTGACTTAGTTTCCTAAGGCCTGTTGACTTTCAATGGGATCTAGGCTCGCGAGTCCATTAGGAGCTTTTGAAAATTTTACCCATAAATCTTCAAGCTACCTATGTACATCATTAGAATAGCTAATAAGTGTTATTCCCATCATAAAATAAAGATTTAAAATACAAAAAAGAGGATTGTGTATTAATATGGCAGTTATCACTGATTTACAGAAACAAGACCTTGTACAATAGAGTGTCCTAGTAAACTGATTTGTTATTAATGGTAGTAAATAAACCTATGCAATCTATTAGGCCACATAAAAATTCAGCAGGATGGGAGATTAACACTAATGTTTAATGCATTGTGATGATTAGGGCTATGATGTCGTCATTTTTTTTTTTTTTTTTATAGTTACAGTGAAGAGGTCAAAAAGCTATCTCCTTGTCAAAGTTTCTATTAAAAAAAACAAACCCCAGTCTCTCTGTATAAACCAAAGTCCACTGCAAGTACTGTGCATTTTGGTGAACCTGTACCTCACTTTATTCAAAGCCCTACTAGAGGGAAAGTAAATAAATTAATTTAGTATTGTATCCTGACAGTACTGTTAGGATCACAATACTATCCTTCAAGTGAAGCACAAGCTAAAAATCGATACTTACTAACAACACCCCTTGTTGGTAACTGGAAGTATAGTTCCCTGGATATGTTTGTTTAGTTCCTTAGCTAGATTCTTGGCTTTCAGGTTTACAGATAAAGGTGCCCTAAAAACAGAAAAGGAAAAGAAAAACAATTCACTAAGAACAATTCAGCTTCCCAGGACAATATGGTATAAACATGCATTAGCTACAGACTTACTTTTTGCTTTGATAAAAGTGTTTCCCTATATGTGAGGGCAAAAGCCTTCTAATTCGATCATCGGCCAGGAAGAGGTTAAATCTGTTCAGGAGACGACGCTTTGCTTCAAATGGTTTGTATTCTTTTTTGAGAGTTTTATATGAGATGATCTGTAATGTGAAAGTAATGTTAGGATTAAACTCCCTTGCAAGAATGAATGGAATACTTCTATGCTTATATACAACTGAATGGCATGATTGCCAATCCATTAAGACTTCCACATTAAAATGCACTCTGTTGTCTTCTCTACTTTATTTAAAATAGTGACACGTTATTTATACAAATAAGACCAACTGAAGAATGCACAATGCTTTTTTAGTTTAGAAAAAACAGGTAATAGCTTTCTTTTTAAAAAAATCAAAACAATACAGATGTTAGATATCAATAAAAAAAAATATAACCATCAAATGGTAGCTGAAGTACATATGGTCACACGTAATCAATCCAAAACTACCCATTTCAAAAAACAAATTTAGACTGCTTTTTATTCCTAATAGGACATAGGAGCCAACACAGCTGAGAATGGGAGAACTGTGAATTGTTTCAGCTTGTGTAAACAAACTCTGCTTAACAATTCACACGTCAAACACTATATAAGTTTGTGTAATAAATAAACATGTTAAAGAGTATTCAATTTTCTATTTATGAAAGATTATCTTATTTAAGTCATATGACAGTTAATGTTGAAACCAGACTGGCAGACACTGAAAAAAGGTTTCTAAAAATGCTTTAAAAACTATTTTCAAATTATTGTAAACTAAGAGCATGTTGAAAATGAAGCAAAAGAAGCTATTAATTAATAAGTGTGCTCTGATATATTTTGCTTGCATAATACTGAAAGCAATGACAATTTTACTCATTTGGGTAAATTTTGAAGTTTTGAAAGTTTGATAAGTTGGAGAAATTTGATTAGAAGTCCTAAATTTTGAACCATCTGAATTAAGTTAATATTTTGCATTAGAAATCACACACCTGTTTTTCTTCTTTTGAAGTTTTAAGGAGAAAAAGACAAGACATTATTGTCCCATATCATATTCCAATGTCTTCCTTACCTGGCTGATACTTGTGATCCCATTCTGGATCAACAGTTTCTTGTACAAGTTTTCGGTCTGTTCTGCAGATAATTCAGGTTCATCTTTTGTGAAGAGGCAAACTTCAGATGTTTCTGGTCGAATACCGTGAGGAAGTGGTCTATAACAAGAGGGTTAGAAAGGGGGGGAAGCATTCAGAGAAGGAATACAAATCTCCCTTTCCAAAGTTAGGCCTACAGAGAAGTTCAAAATCACTAGAGTTATGAGTAGTGCAGAAAGACCGTAGGCCCCAATCCTTCAGTGACTTAGGCCTGCTCTATACTACAATTTTACATCAGTATAGCTACATCTGCCCGAGAGAAGTAGCTATACCAACCTTACCCTGGTATAGACTGCACTAGGTTGATGTAAGAATTCTTTCCGTTGACCTAGCTACTGCCTCTAAGGCAGGTGTATTACCTACAGTGATGGGAGAATTCCTCTCATTGGCGTAGATGGTGTCTACACTGAAGCACTGCATCTGTAGCATTTTAAATGTAGACATACCCTCACATGCTTAAGTACTGAGTAATCCCACATACCCCATTAGGACTACTAAAAAAGTATAAAGATAAGGATATGTTGAAGTCTTTGATGGACTGGGGTGATTAGTAGATAGATCCATAACTTCTCATGCAGCATCACTGTGGCTCAAAATAAAATTTGGGTCTCACATCTACTAATCAATGGCACAAAAGAAAGTAGGAATCTTTTAGCGATTTATAATAGCACTGAAAAAACATTTAGTGTTATTTCCTGAACTGAGAAGAATGCTTAAAAACAGATACCAACTGCTCAGAAACCAAGAGGACTGGTGTACTAGATACAGAGATTATAGGCCTAAATCTTGTTTTATTTATAACTAATTTGTAACTAATCTAAATGACTTCAAGTGAGTAAAGTATGAAGGATCTGATCCTTTATATATCTGACTCATATATCAGATATGATGGAAACTGCCATGCATGCTCAGTCAGTGCTCCAAACTTTTGATGCTACTGACAATTATTGAAACCAATAAAATGATTTTTTAAAACATGGTGGTCTTGGGGGGATACCAGCAAAGAATGTAAGTTCAGTCCACTGCATGCCACAGCAGATGAAAAGTATTTATTATGGAATACAGAAAATCAGAGCCTTTGAGGAAAAACAGAAGTATAAGAATTCTTACATTTTGATAACTTGTTCTTGTGGTGGGATTTTCCATACTGTCACCATTAAGTATACATTGTCGTTCTCATTCAAAAGCAGTTCATCTGTGTTATCTTTGGTCTTTGTGTATGCAAGCAAGGCCTGCACGGCCTTTTTAACCTGGAAGGGTAGAGAAACAGCAACAAGGTAAATTAATGTTAAGGCCGGCCCTGAGTTCTCCTATTAGCGTCAATCAAAGTGAGTTATTGGCAGACACAGGCTCTATGGTTAGGACTGCCTGGCAGGCCATGTGCTCTCTCCCCTCACCAGAAGGGAGATCCAGCTTTACAGGTAAAATGTGTTCAGTTTGCCTGCACTGATGTTCCCCCTAGATATAGCACAAGTCACTGCGGAACTGCTTCTACCCCAGGGACGCGGTTCCAAGCCCTGTCGCCTCCCGCACCCCATGCATCGACCCCTGATACAGCAACAGCCGAAGTCGTGCGAGCGCGGAGCCCCAACCTCCCTCTCGTCCCCAGCGCCCAGGCGGAGGAGCTGCCCGGCCACCCGCGTTAGAGGGCTCAGGATCTGCTCGGCACAAGGCCCCGAGCCCGCCCGCGGTGAAAAATCTTTGCAGCGATTCGGGCCTCCGCGACACGCGAGTCAAGCCGCGCTTGGCCGAACAGCCGCTGGTACCTGTCCGCGATCCAGCTTCTGGCCCGGCGCCGCCATGCTCCCGAGTCCCCACAACGGACCGACACGTGTGTGGAGGTCCGACGGTCCCTGCGCACGCGCAGACCCATCTGCGCGGCGCCCCGTGATGACGTAAACAGCGACCGCCAGTTCTGGGTGGTGCGGTGACTGACTGAGTCTTTTTGCTTGGCGCTCCTCGGAGGAGGGTAGGGGAGGGCGGTCTGAGGGAGGGAGCTGCGGGCCCAGCGGGGCGGTCTGAGGGGGGGGGAGGAGCTGCGGGCACGGGTGGGGGAGGAGATCGCTCTGAGGGAGGAGGGAGCTGTGGGCATGGGGGGCGGAAGGGAGCTGCGGGCACGGGTTGGGGAGGAGATCGCTCTGAGGGGGGAGGGAGCTGCGGGCACGGGTGGGGGAGGAGATCGCTCTGAGGGGGGGAGGTAGCTGCGGGCACGGGTGGGGGAGGAGATCGCTCTGAGGGGGGGGAGGTAGCTGCGGACCGGGTGGGGGAGGAGATGCTCTGAGGGGGGGGAGGGTGCCTGGGGAGGAGGGAGCTGTGGGCTCTGCGGGGGGGAGGAGCTCGCTCTGAGGCGGGGAGGGAGCTGTGGGCACGGGTGGGGGAGGAGATCGCTCTGAGGGGGGAGGGAGCTGTGGGCACGGGTGGGGGGAGGAGATCGCTCTGAGGCGGGGAGGGAGCTGCGGGCACGGGTGGGGGGAGGAGATCGCTCTGAGGGAGGAGGGAGCTGTGGGCACGCGTGGGGGGAGGAGATCGCGTTGAGGTGGGGAGGGAGCTGCGGGCACGCGGGGGGGAGATCGCTCTGAGGGGGGGGAGGTAGCTGCGGGCAGGGGTGGGGGAGGAGATCACTCTGAGGGGGGGAGGTAGCTGCGGGCACGCGGGGGGGAGATCGCTCTGAGGGGAGAGGGAGCTGCGGGCACGCGGGGGGGAGATCGCTCTGAGGGGGGAGGGAGCTGTGGGCATGGGGGGCGGAAGGGAGCTGCGGGCACGGGTTGGGGAGGAGATCGCTCTGAGGGGGGGAGGTAGCTGCGGGCACGGGTGCGGGAGGAGATCGCTCTGAGGGGGGGAGGAGCTCGCTCTGAGGGGGGGAGGGAGCTGCGGGCACGGGTGGGGGAGGAGATCGCTCTGAGGGGGGGAGGTAGCTGCGGGCACGCGGGGGGGAGATTGCTCTGAGGGGGGAGGGAGCTGCGGGCACGCGGGGGGAGATCGCTCTGAGGGGGGAGGGAGCTGTGGGCATGGGGGGCGGAAGGGAGCTGCGGGCACGGGTTGGGGAGGAGATCGCTCTGAGGGGCACGGCAGGGGGAGATCGCTCTAAGGGGGGACGAAGCTACGTGGGGGGAGATCGCTCTGAGCCGGGGAGGGAGCTGCGGGTACCGGAGGAGATTGCTTAGGGGTGGTACGGAGTTGCGGGGGAGGAGATTGCTTTGAGGCGGGCAGGGCCGGGGGGGATGGGAGGACTCCGAGGATGGGAGGGAGCTGCGGGCACGGCGTGGGGGAAGAGTGCTGAGGGGGTGGGAGCTATGGGCACACAGGGAGGTGTGAAGGTGCGGGGGAGGAGCTGAGGGCATAGGGAGAGTGCAGGGTCGAAATGGGGAGGGAGCTGTGGGCACAGGGAAAGGGCGCTCTGATGGGGAAGGGGCTGCAGGTACAGGGAGGATGGTTGCTGGCGGCGGGGAGGAGTTGTTGGCATAGGAAGCGGGGGGGGCGCCGAATAGGAGGGAGCTCCAGGTACAGGGAGAGTAGGGATCCAGGAAGGGAGGGGCTATGTGCCCAGGGAGACTGGGGATACAAGGAAGGGAAAGGAGCTGTGGAAACAAGGGGGATGGGGGTCCGGTGGGGGCATCTGTCATGACCCTGGCTTCCTACCATAATAGCATCAGGGCAGCTCTACCAGTAGCTGTTTAGTGATGGGAAATTTCTAAATGAAAGTCTAGTATGCTGCAGGGTTCAGCTGTTTTTACTTGCAGTTTTGACCAGGTTCGCATGACGCAGTAGTAGAAATACCAGAGCCCTGTCTATGATAATGGCTCAGCCACACTGCAGCTGTAGTGTTGCTGGCTGTTGCTATACAGTGGAGTCACATCTTACGCGTAGGTTAGGTTCTAAAGTCAGCGCGTAAGGCGAAAATTGCGTATAGTCAAAATTACCCTTGAAAATCCCTTAAATTGCCCATAAAGTACAGTATGCTGTACATGGTTTTGTGTCTACAACCCTGTACAGTAATATATATATATATATATATATATATATATATATATATATAAATGTATAATGTATACAGTAATGTACAGTGTATAATAAAGAGTACATATGCAAAATATAATTTTACAGTACTGTATTTTTAATTACAGGGGGTACTTACAGGGGGTCATCAGGGCTTGATGTTGATCCAGGTGACGGAGGTGATGGAGAGCTTGGGTGATGGAGAGCGAGTCATAGACAAAGTGGTTGGCTTTGGTTCAGCTCGAGAAGTTGATTGTGTAGGCTCATCCGCTGCTGGTTGTTTTTCCTTGAAAAACATGGTGATCGGCAACGGTCACTGTTGTCTCTTGAACTGCTCAAACATTTCTTGATACGGTCTCAAATCATTCATAATACTACAGGTGTGATTTTGAGGCTTCGTTCCATAGAGGGATCATATTCAGAAATTAAATCATTCAAGTGTTTCGCTGCTTGGAACACGTCAGCAAATTTATGAAGATTCCAACTTGCTGGCTCTTCCTGTTCATTATCATCATCTTCGTCTTCTGTAGATGATTTTATCAGTTCCTCTAACTCTTCGTTAGTCAATGTTTCTCTATGGCCTTCAATTAATTCTTCAATTTCTTCCTCAAGGATGTTGACGAAGCCATCACCACCCATTTGCCTGGCCAGCTGAACAATGCGTTTCACTTCTTTGTCAATGGTTGGGAAACCCTTAAAATCATTCACACATTCTTTCCATAGGTTTCGCCAACATGCATTGACTGTTTCAGACTTGATTGCATCCATTGCCTGTTTAATATAAGTGATGCAATCGGCAATGATAAAGGACTTCCAGCACTCCATCACATTAAGATTGGGATGAGCATCCATAGTGCTACATATCCGTGAGAACGTAAGCCTCATGTACGTGGCCTCGAAATAGCGAATCACGCCTTGTTTGAGAGGATGGAGGTGGTATGGGGGGGGGAAGAAAGACGACTTCAGTGTTGTTATGTGCAAACCGGAGTACAGCAGGGTGGCCAGGAGCATTGTCTACGAGCAGCAACACTTTAAAGTCAAGTCCTTTCTCTTCGAGGTACTGCTTGAGCTCTGGAATGAAACACTTTTGGAACCAATTCAGAAATAATGCTGCCCTCACCCAAGCCCTTTTATTTGATTGTCAGAATACAGGCAGGAGATTTTTGTTCTTGCCTTTTAGGGCATGGGGATTTGCAGCCCTGTAGAGCAAGGCTGGATTTATTAAATGCCCAGCTGCATTGCCACAAATCACAGTCACACGGTCTTTAGCTGCTTTGACGCCAGGGGCTTATCTTTCTGATTTCGAAGTGTAAGTGCGGTTGGGCATTTTTTTTCCAGAAGAGCCCACTCTCATCAGCATTAAAAACTTGTTCCGGAAGATAGCCCTTTTCTTCTATGATTTTCTGTAATTGTTTGGGGTAGGCTTTTGCTGCCTCTTCATTGGCAGATGCAACTTCACCAGTAGTCTGCACATTTTTGAGGTTGAAGCAGTTCCTAAAACTCTTAAGCCAACCTTGGCTGGCTTTGAATTCCTTCTCATCGGAAGGCTGTCCCTCTTCGGCAGGAGGTTTGAACAGCGCGTAGAGGCTAAGAGCCTTTTCTCGCAAAGTGTTGCCATTGATAGGCACACGTTTATGGTTCATGTCTTCCAGCTATAAATTTAATGCTTTTTCAGTCTTCACTGAAGTCTTATCATGCACCTGGCTCGTCACCTTAGCAGTTATTGGAGCACTTGATGCCGCGGCTTGACAAATTTCTCTCTCTCGAATCTTGATGGCACGGATGCTAGATTCGTTGTGGCCATATTTTATGCGCCACGTTGGAGACCGACATACCGTCTCTCAATAAATCCAACACAGGCAGTTTTTCCTCCAGCGTTGGAACAGATTGCTGTTTCTTCAGTTGAGCATCAGATGAAGTAGTTGGCTTGTGTTTAGGGGCCATGTTGTACGAAAAATATGTACAGTATCTTTAAACACTAGAATCACACTCAGCATGGCGAGTTGTTCACACTATGAGAGGCACACGAGAACTGAGACTGACTGAGGGAACAGCAGATTCACATCTCACGCTCACTCTGGGGCATACGCTCATTGAGTGGAAGGGTGGGCGGAATCGCTCACATTATTTACAGGTATCTTGTTTTTTGGTTTTTTTTTGCCGAGCACATATAGTTGAATTTGCAAAAGTTTGCATGTATGATGCGACTCACCTGTAGTTGCATATGTAGACAAAGCCAGACTCACCAGTGTCAACTTGCCCAAAACAAATACTCAGGAATAAAATCTAGCAGGCCTGACACCTGGTTTCCTACTCTGAGCACTAGATTTAAACTTTGATATGTGTATATTCAGGCATCCTATCATGGGGGCATTCTTTCTTAATGAGTTCCCCTATTATTTAGGGCTGTTGATTAATCACAGTTAACTCACGCAATTAACTCAAAAAAATTAATCGTGATTAATCGCAGTTTTAATCACACTGTTGCAAAATAGAATACCAATTTAAATTTATGAAATATTTTTGGATGTTTTGTTACATTTTCAAATATACTGATTTCAGTTACAACATAGAATACAAAGTGTACAGTACTCACTTTATATTATTTTTATTACAAATATTTGCACTGTAGAAATAAACAAAAGACCAGTATTTTTCAATTCACCTCATACAAGTACTGTAGTGCAATCTCTTTATCGTGAAAGTGCAACTTACAAATGTAGATTTTTTTTTTTTGTTATAGAACTGCACTTCTTTACAGGATATTTACAGTGTCACCTGAAAGTGAGAACAGGCATTTGCATGGTACTTTTGTAGCAAGCATTGCAAGGTATCTATGTGCCAGATATGCTAAGCATTTGTATGCCCCTTCATGCTTTGGTCACCGTT